TAATTTAGAAGATAGAGAAGCTGGTGGAATTCTTCGGCTGATTTCTGACGCTTGTTGCAAGAGCTGCTGTGAACATTGTACACATAGGCTCAAAGAAAAGTGAGATGCATGGAGAAAAAATGGCTTCTGCTTAGAAAGTTTGAGACTTACCCAAAGAACATCTTTAGCATGTCACTGAATTTTCATGTTGCTATGATTTGTTCTTCGCTTTTCCAATGTCTAGTTGTCTAAAGGTATCCCAGGATGGAAAGAGAAATAACTTTTTGGAGAACTTAAAATCACAGTAATCCAAGTGTCAATCTGCTTTTATGTTGGCTTTCCCAGATCCCTGACACAGGACATAACCTGGCCCATCCTTGTTCTCCCTCCCTAATAGTCCCTTACTCTTCTGTCATATGATTACTTTCCTTCTCTGTATACAGTAGGATTACTCTTAGCTTCTGGCCTTTGTCTACCCTCTGACTCCCCTCATGCATCTCCAATTTTTCATAATTCCATTGATCCATTGAAGTTCAGGCTTCGCCTTTGTAAGAAATGTAGCCCCTGTTGATCTTTATTCTTGTTCTATGTGATTTAGCACTCAATTTGATATTACCTTGTTGGTTTTATTTTCCCCCTGTTACTTCTCCCAAGTGGTTATAGTTTCTGGAAGACAGGGTCCTTCTTTAACACATTACATCTATGTAGATTATTTGTCTATTTTTATGCTCTTTTGGATCATCAGCCTCAGAATTCTGAAAATTCAAATGGCATTTTGAAACATCAGCTTATGAAACTATCAGTCCCTGGTATAAAATACAAAGATCAATTCAAATTAGAAAACTTCATTACGATGTATTATGTTTATCACTTTATGATAAAAAGATTGCCAGTTTTTGTCAGATACTTCAGTCAATGTACTACAGTCTTTCATGTTTGTTGTATGTAGTGAGAGACCAGCTTATTCTATGGTTGTCATCGTGGAGAAAGAAAAGGTGGTAGCCGATATGGTCAAATATGATCTGATAATCAGGGGACTCCCTTTCTTTTTTATCCCACAAGAAGATTCTGTCACTTTTTTTTCTCCTGACATTCAACTAGTCCAAGGACAGGAATTGTGATGTGTGGAGTTTCTTTATCCTGTGCCGTTTTATTTTTAAAAAGTAGTTTATGCATTTCCTATCATATTACTGGTTATAAGTTTATGTTATAAGATTATATATCAGCTGATCTATGGTGCAGTACAAATAATCCTTGAAATTTCCATAAATTAACAAAATTAACTTATTTTTCTTCCATTCCACAGTTGGGGGATTAGGGACTTAGGGATCCAATGCTGACCTGGCATTATATTTCAGAAAAGTGTTTGCCTACTCTACTCTCATTAAAAGATTATATAATCAGCTCTTTTATTGAATGAAACAACAAACAGCATGAGTATTCTGATTTGTGCATGCAGATGAGGTATTCTTTTTCCTTCCAGGACAGTGTTTTCATTTGGAATATTCTTTAGTTTACTAATAATTGCAAAAGGGGCTAGGAGCCTGGAATAATTAACAGTATCTTCTGGAAACAGAGCTTGTAATCCTAAAAGAGAACTTGTATTCTGGAAACAAGACTTGCAATAACTGGTATTCTCTTCCAACTCTAGAACAGCGCCTAGAGTAATGTTTTAAGGGGATGAACTCAAAATTTTCTTTGCCTTTGCCTTCGCCTTCATTTCTAGTATTTTTCCATTATTTTATGGGTATTAACTATTTCCCATCTATTCCTGCCTTAGCCCGTATTTTTGGTGAATGCTTTGGAACAAAGATTTGGAATTGATCTTTTGTAATTCAACTTTAAAAATGGAAATTAGAGAATGTTTTCCAAACTCTAGAATTTGCCTTTGCCCTCTGGCTTCATTTATTTATTTTATGAGCAGAATACTTCTATTTAAGTAGAGAGGTCATAAAATGTGTAAAGATTTGAAAGAGAAATGTATTAAAGTGACTGAAGTTAGTCACAGAATTAAAACAAATTCGATTTAGTGGCATTTAAAAAMTATTATTCAATTATCTCTAAGCTAGATATCAAATCAGAGACTCTGCGTCTGATAGAAGAAAAAGTTGGCTCCGATCTACATATTGTGGGGTCAGGCTCCAAATTCCTTAATAGGACACCCATAGCACAAGAGTTAATAACAAGAATCAACAAATGGG